GTCTAGCCCACCTCTTAACAAATGTTATTATTCCAAACAGCTGTGTGCACTGGGAAACCTCATATCACCATCCCATGCAGAGAAACATCGCAAGGTGTCCGGGATCTCCATTCTGCTGGCCAGCCCCTGCATGGCTGAATGTAATTGTCTTGCCTCCAGCACCAATTCTTCTTTCATGTCATTTTCTTTTATTTCAGTCAACTGTGATGAATTTTCTAGCAGGTGCCCCAACTAACACTGCTTTCTTGGTCAGAAACTGAACAGGAAATTTCAAACTCCCAGGATCCTGAAAAAACCAAACTGGCAGTCTTCATTCCAACTTTGGCAGGAATGTCTATTGCCACCTCCCTGTTGGCGGTAGGCCTCAGTGCAGGAGCCCTAGGTCACTCCATCATCGAGGTCAACAAGGTCCAAGCAGACCTCAACCAGGCTATAGAAGACTCAGCCCGGTCCCTGGCATCCTTACAGCGACAAATCACCTCGCTGGGTGAAGTGGCACTCCAGAATCGACGAGCCCTGGACCTGCTGACTGCAAGCAAAGGGGGAACCTGTGTCTTGCTACAGGAACAGTGTTGTTATTATATTAACGAATCTGGTATAGAAGCTGGGATAAAAAATCTCCAGTCAATAAGGGATCGACTCAATAGTTGGCAAAATGTGGGCAAGGACTCAGGTTTTAACATCTGGGAATCCCCCCTACTAACTTGGCTCATGCCTATACTAACCCTACAATTGCCCCTTGTTTTCTAAGGTTTGCCAAAGAAAAAATCCAAGAAGCCTCACGGGTCACTCTCAACTAACTGCTGCGCCACCCCTATGTTCTGGTGCCCACTAAGCCCTCTCCCGGACCACAATTAGGGACTACAACCCCCTTCAGCAGGAAGTAGTCAGAACGACTTTGTCGCCCCCTTTCCTATTACCAAGAGTCCGGAATGATGGCTGCCCAGGGCACTGGAGACTAGGGTCTGGTCTGCCCCGCCCCCACATCTCCTAGGCTCCAGCCTGGAACAGTTTTCACCTGTTGGATTCTCAGACTAGGAAAGGCTGATAGAAAGAGGCCTTCCTAGGCCCGGCGGCGTGGCCTAGCGGCTAAAGTCCTTGCCTTGAACGCCAGGATCCCATATGGGTGCCGGTTCTAATCCCGGCAGCTCCGCTTCCCATCCAGTCCGTGCTTGTGCCTGGGAAAGCAGTTGAGCATGGCCCAAGGCTCTGGGACTCTGCACCCGTGTGGGATACTGGAACAAGTTCCTGGATCCTGGCTTCGGATCGGCATAGCATCAGCCGTTTGCACTCACTTGGGAAGTGAATCATTGGATGGAAGATTTCCTCTCTCCCCGCCTCCCCTCTCTCCCCGCCTCCCCTCTCTCCCCGCCTCCCCTCTCTCCCCGCCTCCCCTCTCTCCCCGCCTCCCCTCTCTCCCCGCCCCCTCTCTCCCCGCCTCCCCTCTCTCCCGCCTCCCTCTCTCCCCGCCTCCCTCTCTCCCCGCCTCCCTCTCTCCCCGCCTCCCCTCTCTCCCCGCCTCCCCTCTCTCCCCGCCTCCCTCTCTCCCGCCTCCCCTCTCTCCCCGCCTCCCCGCCTCCCCTCCCCTCTCTCCCCGCCTCCCCTCTCTCCCCGCCTCCCCTCTCTCCCCGCCTCCCCTCTCCCCCCTCCTCCCCAAGGGAAAACATTGCCATACAATTCTCCATTAAAATATTACTCCTGTATGGAGTTTGCATAGAGTTCTTACATGAAGTGGTAGAAAGATATTTAAGATAAATAATTTTATTTTGGTGATATTAGTTCAATATATTAGTTGGATTTAAATTCAATGACTATTGTATAGAATTGTACGGACTCCACCAGATGTTATAAACTGCTAATGCTGGTCCACTAGGAAGACTCCTTTCTTGTCTCAGTGCAGAGGAGAACCTGTCACATGTACAAATTACGAGTTCCATATTTCCATTTCCAATATCTTAATTACCAAATTCTTACAATTAGTTTTCTAAATAAAGGCGACTGTAGGAAGGGGAGATATGGTAAGATGTTGAAAATGGGAAACTCCACAAAAATAGGATTTTGAAAATAGAAACAAATGTTTTTGGGCACTGGTGATAATTTTTACCATCCTTAAATATCTTAGTTTCAAGTGGCTGACAAAAATTGCATTTGTCAGAGTTTTGTACAGAAAAAAAAAAGAACGAACTACCTACCTCCCCACAGGTCCTGGAATTTTTGCTGCTTTAGGACACAAATTCAGTATAATGGCTTACACGTTGCTGCTATTACTGCTATGCAACTTTTGACCTCAAACAAATGACATTCACTGGCCTTCTTTCCCCTGCCTTCTCTATAATAGAAAGAGGGGAAAAATCGGAAAGAAACCCGTCTGTAGAAATGCTTGCCAAAGTTCCCAGCTGCTCTGAGTCATCTTAAACTAGATGGTGAAAGGAGATGAATTAGCACAAGGTAGTCCAAGAGGCCGGCTGGGGATCTGGTTTTAAGGGCCAACAAAATGACCTGGAGGCTTCCTCTCAGCAAGGACAATCTGCAACATACCAGCCACCAGAATTCCTTTCAGATGCATCCTGGGTAAGCAGGCGTTACGCAGCTTGGTTGCTTTTCCAAGACCAGCGGGAAAGACCAGGCTAAGTCTGCTTTTGAGCAGAAAGTCTTCTGAGTCTGTGCTGACCTCAACCAAGATGCATCTGTTGAAGGACAAGGGTGGCAGGCAACATCCTTTCTTGGGTCCAAATGGGTCATTTTTAAGGGCAGCTGATAAAGATCCATTATTAATTCATTAATATTCACCTACAGACTCAGTCAGCTTGTCTTGGGGCTTTGTGGCTTGCCCCATGATTTGCATAATGGATAACGGCCTGAATATTGTTTGTACATGACACCAACCTGTGGTGGAAATTAATAAGGGCCGAATGGAAGTATCTAAAGACACGGGGGGGGGGGGGCTTAGTTGATTACAAGTGGTTTCTATAGATCCTTACTTAGTAGGCCAAAACCACTCTCAAAGGCAAATTCCTCAGGGATTAAAGGGAAGAGTATATACATAAGATTAGAAAATAATGAGTTTTGGCATCGGGAACATTGCTATTTTAACCTGACTCTGCCATTTATTTTGTCCATATTACTTTAGACAAATCACTTACCCCTCCTGGATTCCCAGGATCCTAATTTGTTACATGGGATTTAAATGTATGACAGTCTCATTAGTTTGAAATTATTAAGATACAGTTTTGATATTACTAGAACTCAGTGGAGAAAACTTTAAAGAAAAACTTCCTCCTAACATATAGGTATTATATGACTAGTTCAATTTGAATATTAAATTCCCTATTAACTCATGATCAACTATGGCAAGGCTAGCGACAGACATGCATTAAAAAATATAATTTTATCACCTTTAAAACTTGCTGAGTTTCTTCTTGTCTGTCATCTACTGTAACGTATTTAATTTTTGAAAAGTCCCACTTTATACTCAGCCATAATCACTGACAGTTTCAGAATACACAGATTAAATTTTTCCTATATTATGATTTTATCATACAACAAAAATCTGGAAAACTGTTTGAAAAAGCTCAAATAATCACCATCTCATGTTGATATTTCACACAGCAGTGAAGACAGAAGTTCAAATAGTACTGGTGAGAAGGTGGGTGTTGCCTTAGTCACCTAACCCTACGTGGACAAGTGCATGACTCCAAGGGGTCTATTTCTTCCTGAAACTGGCATGCATGACAGTGAAGAGCTCTGCTCCCTACAAGGTCCGTGGATCAGCTATCCTAATGCACACCCTGAAATAAAGCTCACCAAGCTATGACACGCATAGAAAGCACATGCATGAAATGACAGAACAGAGTGTGACCGGCAAATGTTGATTCAGTTAAACCCCTTCTGACCGTACCTTTTTTTTTTTAATGATCTCCTGCTATACTAATGACACATGGGAAGAAGAAAGCAACAAAAACAGTTTTAACCCTCTAATTCTGTGAACCTCAGAGACCACCGGGGAAGATGAAAGATTAGTTATAATGTCATAACAATTTATCAGATGGATTTTTTTTTCCATCTACTGAAATAAAAGATGAGGTAAAGCTGCATATGTTTACCCGCAGAAGCCTGCGGTTGTGCTATTATGACTGCTATCACCGTTTTCCAGAAGTAATCTAAGAAATGAGTGGGAGAAGAGGTGCCACGGCCACACACACATACCTTACCCGCAAATCCAACAAAAACAGCAAGTAGAAAACTATCTCCCAAATGCTACCATAGTCAGGTTTGAATGTGTGCTTTCGCATGCTTACAGAATCGACAGAGTGCCAGAACATAGCAAGCTCAAGGGCCAGCTGATCCATTGCTTTTCTGATCAGATGGTTCTAGAGATATGTTTGCGAAGGTCTACAGTGTGAGCTCTGACTACAAAATCACACAGACCCAATCCTTAGCTTTTCCTTTGTACATCCTGGGATTCCTCTATGAATTAGAGCCCATTATTTTGTTCCACAGTCCAGTTTTCCTATTCTGAAATTTTATGGCCAACCTCACAAAAGTCCTTTGAAACTAAACCCCTTCAAAGTTTAGCTTCAGTTAACATTTTATCAGGCCATCGGATCAAAGTGAACCAAGGACAGATCACACTTCTTTGCTAAGTAGAGGATGGAGATAGAATGGTTTAGAAAACCCACGGACTGTTTAGGTTCACCAGTCTTGGTCCAAGTTAGTAAATGACTTGTGCATGAGACAGAAATCCCTATTAATGACACTTACTTACATAACTGACTTTAAAGTGAAAGAACTCACAAGTTTATGAAAATAATTTGCTTTTCATCGGTTGAGCAACAATCAGTAAATACATGTTCCAGAAAAGACAGAACTGACTGCTACAAAGAGTAGTTAGCAACAGTTGAGATTATTTGGTAGATGACATAATAAAAGGCACCCATGTTATCACTAAGGAAAACAATATATTATTATACTTAGGATGCTTACCTCCTTTTTATTTTTAGGACCTGGAGCGCAGAGCAGGAAGCTCAGTGATAAGTGCTGAGATGTAACTCCTGTTGGGCTCACCCTTCTACTAACAGCACTGCTGTCAGGACGGAGAAATCACCCACACTCAAATGGAGTAAGAAGAAAGCAACAGTATTTGGTCTTTTCAAATTTAAATCAAGACTTGTCACTTGTGAGTCAGAAAAGAAAACCTGGCCATCTATTATCAAGAGATACAAGTTTACACAGGTCAGAAGTTGTTAGTAAAAGTTAATAAACCACCAAGAGAAAGAGGTTTTGTTTTGCTTTTTTTTTTCTTAACTTAGAGCTGCTCTCCAGTGAGTGGGCTGAGAATGTCAGCAGCCTGACTTCTGCAGGCCTCTAAGTACTGGCTGCGTGACTGTCCAGCACATCTGAAGGTATCTGAAGTACTACGGAGAGATTCCATGTGGAATAACAACTTAAAGGTTCATTTCATCTTCTTTCAGACCTACAATTCTATGATTCTCTGTTATATTTAACTGGACCACATCTAACAAAATATTCTGGCGAATGTAATAAAACTGCATATTTTCTCAAACTATGAATGGCAATTTCCTCAAAAGTTGGTATTTGAAAAGTTTTAAGAAAGCTACTCCATTTAAACTACACAATGCCCTAATCATTTCCTTAAATTAAAGGGAGATATTTCATATTATGGAAACCCCCAAATGACAGTTATTCAGATATATTTTGTTGAGAAGGCGATTGTTCAGTAATAATCATACTTAACAGATCCAGGTACTTTGAGAAAAAACACAATTTTAAGTTCAAATCCAACATTGCTCATTTAGTCTTTGAAATAAGCATTGCCATGGAGGGAAGTTGCCACAGCCTGGGTGTATAATGAACAAAAAAGCCACTCAACAGAATGGGTAGGACACAAACAACGCACAAAGAAAGCACATAGGAACACTTGCACCATGCAATACTGGTCCTTAGATGTTGTGGATGCGCTATGGCAAACAGACATGGCAGGATGGGAGGCAGAAAAGTGAAAGAAGACTAAAAGACACCGGCTATGTCAGATATCTGCAAATACAGCCAGGACTCAACCAGTGTCCAAAAAAATCTCTGTGTTGCTTCACACCAGGCGGATACACACACTGTGCACATTTAGTCACTCCAGAAAGGGCTAATGTGAGAAAAACAGGAGGCCAACAAAGCAAAACAACAGAATTCATAGCCTACCCAGGGTGTTTGGAGCGTGGGAGGGCTGTCCAAACATAAACATAAAGCTGAATGCTGTCCAGCAATAATTGTTCTATAAACAATAGGTAACTCAGCTACTGAGCTGCAGAAATATATAGGATTTTTTTCTTCAGCTCTTCCTTTTCATGGCATAAAAGCTGTAAAATTGTCAGTATTCTTACAAATGTTGCCTCAGTAGCCAGTAGTAACTTCTGATATGTAAACAGAATTGGGCTATTTCAGAGTCATGGTTCCCTTCAGTAATCGTGCGCCTTGACAAACAGAAAGAAGCACATTAAGGGTACAGTTCACTTTTCAATTACCTATGGTTGGTTTAGGTGAAAAGAGAGAAATAGATTAGAATAGATATTTTAGAAACTCATTGGAATAAACAGTTGAGACTACACCACATCTTTCCTCAGAGCTGCTAGGAGAAGCAAAGTAAGACTGAATATAGTATTTGTTTGCCTGGCTTATTTTCTGGTGAAGGGGTGGGTGCATGAAGAAGACAGAAAGAGGAGGAAGAGATGAGATATAGGAAAAGTAAAGAACTGGAAAACTCAAGTACAGATTGTGGAGGTGATGGTTCCTTGTTGAGACTTGCATGATAGTCTCAAAAGTGTGTAATGAATATGCATGACCATGGTTGGAGCATAAGCTAACCCAGCAGGCACTGGGTTGCTGATTTGAATGCTTTTGCCAATTTCTAGCCAAAAGACTTGGATGTTGCTTGCTTTTTCTAAGATAATACTATTGTAACTACACTAAAGACTGTGACTGGATGTGATGTAAATGCCCTAAAAATTGCAGGGCACAAAAATACAATCAACACTCATTATTACTGCTACCACTCATAGTCATAGCATGACTTCCTCATTCATAAAAGAGAAGAAAAATGATGATTGGAAAGATTTAGTGAGACACAATCTCTTCCAGGGGTCAGCATCATGGAACAGTGGGTAAAGCCACAGCTTAAGATCTAGCATCCCATAAGAGGATCCGTTTCTGTCCCAGCTGTCCACTTTCAATCCAGCTCCCCATTAAAGTGGGAAAGCAGAAGATGGTCCAAGTACCTAGGCCACTCCTGTCTTTAGGGGAGACCTCATTGAGGCCCTTGGTGTCAACCTGGTCCAGCCTGGCCATTGCAGCCATTTGGAGTAAACCAACAGATCAAAGATCGCTCTAACTCTGTGAAATAAGTAAATCTTTCTAAACACCACAGTGACAAAAAAGTGCCTTCCAGTTTTTAATCCATATTGATAAAATAGTTTGTAACAAATGGCAGCTGGGACTGTGGCACATCCACTAAATAAAACAGCCTAACTGAAAACCTACCTCTTTTTTATTATAGTATCTTCATAGAGAGGGTGCTCACTTGATCTTGAAGACAGAGAAGGGAAGGGGGGGATCCATTTTTAGAGGCCCCAGGTTTAAGAAAGAAAATGACAATTTTGTTGCAGTTAGAGAAGCGAGTCTTACTGCCCTTACAGATCATTTAAAAATGTGTGCATACAGATGTACAACTACAAATGCCATCATCATGGCATTTACTGTTTTTTCATATTATTGACTGTTCTATTTTTTTTTTAATTGCTATCATTGTTATGCTATGGAAATACCACTTGCTTCATGGAGGACCTTCAAACTTCCTTTGTCTTTTTGGAATACTACTTTGAACATGTACTCAGACATTGATATGAGGCGACAGTGTCAGGTACGACACAGGCCGACGGCTGTCTGAGGGCCCACCGTGGCATGGCCTGTGAGTCTCGTTTTATTGGACCATCCTGCACTGACTCCCCTACCAGAATGATGGGAAGAACACAAGACTCTCTGTTTGAAAACATGCACAGCTTTTCTAGGCTTGAAAATTAAACCATAAAAAGTTTACTGAAAAAAAAAAACCCTTTAAAAAGCTCCTTAAAAACTCACACCATAATTGCTCCCCACCAAGCGTGGGCACTTGCTAGCTGCAAGTAGTGGCACTGTGACAAATGTAGCAAAACTGAAAGCGGGCTATACTAAGAGAAAGAAAAAGTCTTCCACTGGCCATCTGTGAAAATAAGGCATGTGGCCATTAAATGCAGAGGCTGTAAATATACACAAACTCCATGAAGCAAATGGCAAAAAAGGACTAAACTTCGAGCTCAAACAAATCAAAATGTTTAATGCATAGTTACCACTGCTGGACGAAAACAGCGCTGATCTTTGCAGCCTGCAGACTCGGCATGTATTTCAATTAAATACCCCCAAAAAGAAGAGAAAGAAAGAGAAAGAAATGAAAAGACAGAGAAGAAAACCATCTGGAACAAAAGGCTATAGACAGCCCATACTCAATTTCTAGAAACAAACAGCCCCTTTAACTCACATCAGCCTGTCGAGAGCGTCGACGGGAATCAGAGAAAGGCTGACATACAGAGTGATGGATGGGTGATGACATAATACCTATTTGCCTTTTTGTCATGGTCTTTGAAAACTGGCTGCTTCGTGCTGATAATATTCACCAAGGGGTTTTCTTCTCCCCTCCTGTCCCATAAGAAGGGTTCCCTAGCTAAGACACTCAGAATTAAGGAGGAGGTTTTTATGAATGAAAAACAAAAGGGAAGAAAACCAAAGGATCAAATGCCAGCTCGCACATAAAAATGCTGGTCTAGATTTTTCTAATAGCCAGTTATCTCGAAAGCGGCTCCCGAGCCGTGTCACATCCACAGTGCAGAGTGTCCAGCAATAAGGCAGATACATTTCAGACTTGGTATATCCTGTTCATTAAGGCCGTCAAATAATCATATGTAAAAGGTAGACAAAAACATAATACATTCAGTTTTATAGGGAAAATATTAATCACTAGTGTTATTTTACTTTGTGCTGAAGCAAATTCTAGCCAAAAGACTTAGAAGACTTAGAAACCCTTTTTCAACAGGCCCCCTCCCCACACACATGCGCACACGCACACGCAGAGCTCTTGCAGTGCTGCAGTGTTCTACCAGACTCGGAGAGGAATTACCCAACACACCCACCTCTTCTGTGAAGTATCCCTCTAAGCACTGGAATACCTACTTCTAGTTTGACATCTCTTATTGATTTCAGCTAAAGACAATATTTACAAACTCCATCCAGAAATCATTCTTTGAAGCTACTCCCTGAATGGACAGGCGTGTGTGCGCCTTCCTTCAGATTCCTTCAGACTGACTTTTTCTTGGGGGGGTAGGGGGGGAAGCCAATCCTGTGCTTCAGAATTCCACACAGGCCTTTTTCCCTCATCTCAGGGAGGGAGCATGTGTTCGACACACTAACTGCACTGTGTCAGCTTCTCAAGAGTTAATAATGCTTGCCCCATCCATCAGAGAGCCAGTGGAGCATCGGCGAAGAATGATGGATGTAAAATTATTACAGGGCTGCCATCCGATGCACTGGCTGCCATTTGTAACTAACGCTGGGAATGACACATTTTTTTTTTCATTATTAAACATCCACATTAAGTCAACATTGGTCACTGTCATCCCATGTTTGGCACTCTGTTAAAGGGGGGGAAGAATTGACAGTGGTGGAAAAGAGGACAGTGAGCTGAAGTTCCCTAGTGGCAGACAGGAACAGAATTCACCTGTTTCCCAGTGAGCCGCGTCGGGATGAGGCTGAAGAACACAACAGACGCCACCAACAAGAGAAACAGCTGACACCACTGAGTGATTACTTAAAATATGTATTCTGTTCACCCATTTTCAGGAACTCTCTAGAAATTTGCTTGGGATTTTTTACTGAACCTTGGAAGGAAATAAAAGATGTTCTTCCAGCTATTAATTACGGATATAAATAATTTTGTCTCTAAGAAAGAGTTGATATGCCAGGTACACTGTAGGCAACCCATGTTTGGTGAATCAGTTCTCTACCTTAAGAAACAGTTGCATGCATTTCCATGCTTATTTTTGTGACATCTGTTTTACAATAAGGAAAGCAACAGAGAAGTCAGTCTTAATATGTGCAGAGCACGCGAGTGAATACACAGCAAAGACTTGCCCTGTCATCAGAGGCTGTCATTCCACGTGTGCCTCATTTACTCCTCCATGAACCACAGACCAGGCCAGAGGCCCTGGACAGGCAGCAGCAACACCAGAGCCAGGGGGACAG